TGTGTGTGTGTGTGTGTGTGTGTGTGTGTGTATACCTCTCTCTTCCTCTCCCCTTATTAATTCAGTTTACTAAGACAAAGCCACGTGATATATTAATCCCCCCTCCCCCTTGCTTCCACCCTCTTTTCCCTCCAGGCAAATATCTACTTAAACCAGCAAATATTGCTTCCAGCTCTGTACAAGTTAGATGAGTTATGCTTTATAGACTCAATCGGCACGATCGGGAGCAGTCGTGAAGCCAGGCCCCCAATACCAGGCAAGGAGAAGTACCGGGATGTAGCAAGACTACTTTTGGAGCACGGAGCAAACATCAGGACCTACAACTCGGAATCTTTGACGCCTTTGGACGTGGCGGAGAAAGGAGACGATCCGGTCCTGATTGATATTCTCAAAAAGAGGGTTTAATGATGATGATGGCTATTGCTTTGTCGTTTATTTGCTTTCATGTCAATTTCATTTTCTTTCAATTTTATACTCTCTCTGTGCCTGACTTCGTTTCGCTTTTTCTAAAAAAAAAAAAGAAATAGTATCTTACCACCGGGCAAGTTTTACTTCATTTTACTTATATACGTTATACTTTTTAAAAAATGCATCCATGCCTTCATCGTTTGTCTTTACATTCTCCACAAAACTTGGCCAGCGATAAGTGTGTTTCTTTTATAAGGAGAGGAACTTGGGTTCATTTTTATCGTTCTTTTCGCGCTGTCATTCTTTCATGCATGTCTGTTGCCGGTTTCTCCACCTTTCCGTTGGAGCCATACATAGTCGCAAAGCTGTTAATGTATTCTAAGCCCCCAAAACAATCTTTTTTATGGATAGAGAGAACATTGCATCATTCTCTTAACAGTTATACCAACTCTGGGTATCTTTTCTTGGTTGAAAAACCCCGCAAAAAACACTTAGATTTTGAATTTTGACAAAGCATTTCTCCAGCTTATGAAACCAATACCGCATGATTACGAAACTGCAATTTCTTTTTAAAAAGAAAAATGCAAAGCCTAGTACATTTGAAGAACTGGTTGAAAACATGTCGTTTACTTCTTCAAAATGAAGGAGCCTGTGGTTTTCTAATCACAGCTGACGTTATCGAGGGGACAAGCCATTATCTCAGATGTGTTATCTTTTACATATTTGCTGCAATGTATAGTGCATTTGAACCTGCTCAAGACGCCACCTATTGTAGAGGTGTAAGTGGTTGTCTTAGACAGGTGGTGTGGGCGGTGTGCAGGTGCTCTGGTGTGATTTGTTCCTTCTTTCCTATCAAACATATTATTATATCGTCCTTATCTCTCCTCCTTCTTTTTTTGTGTATGTTACTCTCTTGTAGCACCTCTATTCTTCGGCACTTATATGACCTTACTGTGTTGCAAGTGCCGTAAAACTCTTACTAAAACGGAAAAAAAAAATAGGTTGTTTTCTGGGGCAGTATTTTTTATAACGTTTGAAAAGTGTAATGGGGTGGGGTTTAGAAGTGGTCGTTTGCATATGGGATTGTCTTGTACAAGTGGTCGTTAGAGCAGGTTCGACTGTACTAGGCCGATGTCGTTCATTTGTGACTTCACCTCTTAGGTCCTTTCCGCCGAAAAGAGGGAAAAAAGAGCTTGTTCAATGTCCGGAATAATTTTTGCGTATTTTCATGAGGAAGGGCTGTAGTGTATTAATCATAAAATTATAATATTATCTGTAACTTGTAATTGGCTGTCAATGTTGGTCTTAAGGTTTATACAGCTACTATTGTGAAAACATTCCTGTAACATTACCAAGATGTCAAGGTATGATCTCGAGGAAAAATTGTAGCTCAGTTAGCTGGTTCTCTGACCTCGGTTCAATTGATGTCTGTGGTGTAGGTGGTAGGCTATTAGCCGTTGCAAGAAAAGTGAGCCCAATTCTCGTGAAGGGGTTTTAAAAAATGAATATATAATGTACATGTGTGCTCGTCTTTCTTGAGAGACCTTGCATCATTCTCTGCCCAGGATGGCCCTGAGACACAAGGTCAAAGCTGCATACCTCCTAAGTCATTTATTGTGTGTCGATGGGCGGTAGAACATTTACAAGTAGATTTTTAAAAATATTGTATAGCGTTGTGGCTCTTCATCTTGTTCTATGGGAGATGGGTGTTGATTCGGAAGCTTCACCTATTCAACTACTGTGACTTTTTAAAAGTGATTCTTGCGTATATTTTTAAGTTAATGTTTTCTTGGACTAAGATTTAATGAATGCCGTTATTATTTCAACAAGGTATTTGCATGATTTTATATCACTCTATTTCAATGTTTATTATGTCATCAACATCATGGGTAGTTGCTTTTTCTTTTCTGTCAGATAGCTATCGTCTTTTTCTCTCCTCCTTTATTTCTGAGTAAAGAATAATATATTTCTCACTAGTACCGCATCCAAGCTTCGACACTTATACAATATGTTGTATGACCTAATTATGTTGCAGGTGCCGTAAAAGGCTTGCTAAGACTAAAACTTAACATCAGCCGGAGTATTATAGGCCATCATGAGTTTCCATCTGCTTCTGCCAGGTCTATAGTCTCCACCGTTGTCCAGCGGTTTCCCATTTCCGTCAGCTCCAAATCCAAGCCCGTCTTCCAAGACTTAGATCTAGTAGTTCAAAGCATTCCTCTCTTTCGTTTTCCTTGTGATTCCATCCAAGGCTTGACGGGTAATGTTTGTTTTCGTTTTCCTCAAGGTGTGTCCTATAAACTTCCATCTTCTTTTTCCGAATTTTACGTCCAAGTTCTGCTGATTTGTTTGCTCCAACAGGTTATTATTTTTTAAATGGAATTTTTTAGATAAAAAAAAACCCCAATTGTTGTCAAATGCTTGTAACTTTTTAGCAGTTTTGTCTTGTAAGTGTCAATTTTTTTCCTATCCATAAAGTAGAACACTTTTGACTTTGATGTCGACAACCTTGTTTTGATTTCTTCTCGTTTTATCATGTACCAGTCGTTTTTATCAGTATATAACATACAGACACCGACAACTCTTACCTTTCTCCAAAACTTTCTTTATTTCTAGCTTTTTAGTTGTTGTTTATTCGTAGTTGTTTTTAGCATACCCTCTCAATAATTCTGTTCAATTCAATCTGATTGTATAGGTCATATTATGTCAACAACATAAGGTATGGTACATGTCATACCAGGTACTTATTTGAAAGGCAGCTTTCACTCGCGCGCACACACACACACACACACACACACACA